TTGGTGTTAGCAGGAGTTCCCTGGGAGCACAGAATGAGCATTTTTCATTCTGGATGACTGCAACCTAATAAAACCAACCAGAAAAAAAAAAGAGATTTAACTCTTATGTCATAATGACCGCTGATTACCAATACACATACTTGGAACAAGGAATCAAGTGGCCAGATAAAGAAAAAAAAAAATTCACCTTTTCTTCTTCCTACTGTCACGGATCCCAAAGTCAATACTTGTACATCTCGTAGGTTGATAACTTAGGGTGTGACTGGCTCTTGTGTTTTGCCTTGGCTCATTGCTATAGGACTGGCTGACCTTTCTCTCATCCAGAAGACTGTTTCAGAAGAGCAGGTCTCATGCTGGTACACCGAGGTACATCAACCCCTGCAGTGGCTCTGTGGTCATTTGCTGCTGCCTTTCTGCTCTGCCTTTATTGCTCCTATTTTTTAACCATTATTATGAATAGTCATTTGCTTAGAACTTTGCAGATTCATGTATTACTAGATCACCAGAAAATATTTTAAGAATTTATTATCTTCCATTTTCAAATAAGCAAACCAAGGTTCAAAGAGATAAAATTGTTTTCCTGAGGCCATGTTATCAAAAGCATAAAAAAGCAATTCCTTAATCCTGGTGGTCTATTCCAGGACCAGATCTCTTGTTGCTCCATCATGGTGCTTCCACATATTTAATAATATGTTTTAAATTTACACCTTCCTTAATTATGAGACTAGATATAATAAACAGTGGGATCATGGTGCTTTACTCTGTCTCTTCTCTTTTAATCTGTCTGGAGACATTTATTTTTAATCACCTACAGTGAATGACTGCTTATTATATAATTTTATGGTCCAGACACACACAGGTCTAAAACCTACTGAATTGCCCTTGGTAATTATAGCATGTGAAAAAAACCTATCACATTTTCTTACCTTGACCTACTTTAATGAAGTGATAATGCTCATTACTTGCAGCCGTACATCCAAATGTTCCCTATCTCCATGCAAGTTTGTCTCAGCCAGAATAAATGCCCAATTAATCAGAGGTGTTTAGTTTGCCTTGCTAATGTTCTAATGATGCTGGTGCTTAATTCTCTGTAGCTATTAGACAACTATCCTGCATCTCATAATACTTTCAAGAATAATTGCGTATATATTTTAATTTTGCATATTTTTTTAACTCAGGGAATAACATAGCAAACATGTTATCTAGAAAATAATACATTGACCTTGACAAGGAACATGAGCTAGATGGTAAATAGCCACTCTTCCACCTCACCGTTTGGTTCTCTTCTCAGCTGTACCACAGATACCTCCAGTAAGGAATCCCTGAGTGCCTCCACAGAGCCCCTCTCATCACGGCTGGGCCATGAACCAGAGCTTCCAAAACAGCCTGGGGGTGAGTGCATATCACAATGAGCACTGGCAGGGTTTCCCTGATGTAAAGAAGCAATGAATTATGGTAGTTCACAGTTTGTCCTGAGAAAAGTAAACCTTTAGATTTTCCTTTCCTACCCAAAAATATGCAAAACATGATATAAATGCTAAGAGAAGCACTAGACCTTGCCTCCGAAGAACCCTGAAAACAGTATTAACACTAATGGACTCTCTACTATCTAGTAAATCTGGATGAAAGCAGTCTCCCTTACCTCCCAATCCTTTGTTCCCCAGTTTACACCAATCAGAACAAGTCAGGAGTTGGGGGCAAATCCTATTTATCAATGCAATATTCATGGTGCAGCAAAAAAAA